TGGGGGGAGTAACTGGGACAACTGGGGGGGCAACTGGGAGGTCCTGAGTTCTGGGAGGGGTAACTGGGAGGGTAACTGGGACAAACTGGGGGGCTCGGGGGTTGGGGGGGGCAGTTGCAGGGACAACTGGGGGCAACTGGGATTCTGGGGGTGCAACTGGGGGGGAACTTGGGGGATGCTGGGGGGCGAAGGAGAAGGTTTGGGGGCTCCCATGGGGCCTGGGGGAGGGGCTGAGCCCATTGGGGTCCCTTGGGGGGTCCCAGGGCTCGGCCTCGGGGACCTCATGGGGGTCCCTGGGGTCATCCTGGGGGTCCTCATCACTGTAGGGGTCCCCATAGGGGTCCCAGGGCCGGGTTTGGGGGTCCCCGGGCACACTCTGGGGGTCCCCATAGGGATCCCAGGGCCGGGCTTGGGGGTCCCGGCCCCTCCGGAGGCTCCCGGGCTCGGGGTCCCTGTAGGGGTCCGAGGGGGGCGGGTCGGGGTCCCAGGGCTCCTCTTCAGGCTCCTCATCCTCGTAGGGGTCCCCATAGGGGTCCCCATAAATGTCGGGGTCCCAGGGCTCCGTTTCGGGGTCCCACGGCCCTTCCCGGGGGTCCTCGGCCCTGTATGGGGGGGCCGGGCCCCCATAGGGGTCCCCGTAGGTGTCGGGGTCCCAGAGCTGTGGCTCGGGGTCCTCGTAGGGGTCCCCGTAAGGATCGGGGTCCTCGTCCCTATAGGGGGGCACGGGGGAGGTGTCACCGGCGGGGGCGGGGTCCCGGAGGGAATCCCGGTGCGAATCCCGGTGCCGGGGCGCTCCCAAGCCCCCATCCCTGTCCGAGTCCCGGTGCAAATCCCGGTGCGAAGCTTCCCGGGAATCCCCGCGCCAGCCGGGATCCCGGTCCCGGTGCAAATCCTGCTGCCATTCCCGGTGGGAATCCTCGTGTGAGCCCCGCTCTGGCCGCAAATCCCGGTGCAAATCCCGGTGCAAATCCCGGTGCCCTCCCGGGGGCAAATCCTCCCGGGAATCCTCGGGCAAATCCCGGTGCAAATCCCGCTGAAGGCTGGGCTGGGAATGCTCATGGAAATCCTGACGGGAATCCCGGTCCCAATCCCGGTCCCGATCCCGGTCCCAATCCCCGTGCGAGCCCCGGTGCCGCTCCAAGGGCAAATCCTGGGAATCCCGGTCCGAATCCCGGTCCAGATCCTGGCGGGGATCCTGCTCCGAATCCCGGTTCCAATCCTGGTCCGAATCCCGGTCCAGATCCTGGCGGGGATCCTGCTCCGAATCCCGGTTCCAATCCCGGTCCCAATCCCGGTCCGAATCCCCGTGTGAGTCCCGGTGCCGCCCCGGCCGCGGCTCCCGGTGCCATCCCGAGGGCAAATCCCGGTGTCTCTCCCGGTGCGAGCCTGGATGTGGATCCCGCAGGGAATCCCGGTGCCGATCCCGGTCCGAATCCTCCTGCGAGCCGCGGTTCCGCTCCGCTGCCAAATCCCGCTGCGAGCCTTCGCCTCCTCCCGTCCCGTCCCGCCGCCGGTCCCGGGCTCTCCATCCCCGGCTCCGCTCGGGCTGTCCCTGCTGTGCCCCGAGCTCCTGGGGAGGGGGCGCGGGTTGTCCCCGGTGTCCCCACAGCTCCTGGGGAGGGGTCGCGGGTTGTCCCCGGTGTTCCCCGAGCCCCCGGGGAGGGGTCGCAGGCCGGTGCCGGTGTCCCCCGGGCGGGGGCCGGCGGCGGCGGCGGCAGGTGACCCCGTCGGGCTGCAGGACGAAGCCGCGGTGACAGTGACAGGCGAAGCCGCCGTGGTGGTTGAGGCACATGTGGTGGCACACGGCGGCCGTGCGACATTCGTCCCTGTCCCCGCAGCCCCCCGCCGCCACCGGCCCGAAACCCAGCGGGCACGGGGGGGTCGGCGGGACCCCCGTGTCCCCCCCCGCCGCCACGGCCACCAGCGCCACAAGCGCCACCAGCATCGCGCTTCCTCCTCCTCCTCCTCCTCCTCCTCCACCTCCTCCGCGGCAGGGGGAGACAGCCACCGGCGACCCCC